CACATACATGAACCTGGGGCTACCTATGAGAGATCAAGGCAGGCTCCCGTAACTCCACATGCATGAAACAGGGCCACCCAGGCAAGGCCAGTGTGGACCCCCATACCTGCACATACACGAACCTGGGGCTACTCGGGCACAGCTCAGGACTCCTGCAGCTCTGGGGCTGTGGAAACGATGCTGACCGTTGCCACAGAGGAAGACCCCCCTCCTCACCTGCGCGTCTGAGAACAGCAGCCCCGTGACTCCATGCTGCACCACAGCGGCGTTCCCCGGAATGTTCCTGGCCAACACGACAACTTCCAGATCCATTGCCTGACGGGAAAGGGAGGGAGACGGGGGCGGTCACCTTCGGAGCATGTGCCAGTCTGTGGGACAACCACTGCCCACGGTCACTGGACCTCTGGCACCACACGCACGCTTACCTAGCGAAAAAGGTCGGCCTGGGGCAATCCATACGAGACCAAAGTGACAACAGAGACCCTGGAGAGCAGAGGGGAACCTTCGGGGGCAGTGGGCTTGTTAGTCGGGGAGGAACAACCCCAACGGAGGCGAGGGGGGCGCACCCCTCAGAGGATGGCATCAGTGTGGGATTGGTGCATGCTTTCAACAACAGCAAAACCAAACCAAATTACTCTACCACAATTTAAAAAAGAAAACCCTATGGGCCCGGCTCTGCTCGGACACCATGGGGCCCCATGAGCTGGGGCCAATGTGAGGACAGCCAGTGGCAGTGATCAGGGCCTTCCTCCTGTGCCCACGAGGACAGCAGTGCCAAGAGGACAAGGCCTGTCCTGTCAGCCGCACCCCTGAGCCTTGCCCGTGCCTGACCCACAGCAGGCGCTCAGGAGCCGTGCTGAGCAGAAGCAGCAGCGAGGGTCTGGATCCGGCTGACGGGCCCTGCCGTCTGTGGCACTAGGGGCCAGACTCGCGGGTGTCCCGCACCTGGCTCTCGCCTGCCAGGAAACCTGCGGTTCAGAAGACAAGGATGACACACAGCCTAGGCCATCACTGTTGGTATCAGGCGCCATCAGTCAATTCTGACTCCTGGTGACCCCACGTCACAGAGGGGAACAGTCCCACGGGGTTTCCTGGGCTGTGGTCTCTGTGGGAGCAAATCGCTGCGGGGTTTACTGCCAACCTTTGGGCGGCAGCTGAGTGCTTAACCGTCGCACCACCAGGGCCCCTTCCACCCTGAGTCCACGCTCAACAAGGAAGTTGTGCGATGGCGGAGGGCGATTTTAACTGGAATCTGGTGGTTGTGTACTTCGGGAAAATGGATTCTGAAGTCACCTCCTTCAAAGGACAAAACTAAACGCATCTTTCAGAAAGTAAAGTCTCAGCAAGAGAAAAGGGCCCAGACAGCAGCTGTGTGAAGCCGGGCTGGCAGCGCCGGGTGGCAGACACGCTGGCACACAGGCGGCCGTCTGCCTCCTCAGCACCTCATGCGAGGGACTGGAGACGCTTGAATGGGCGGGGACTGGGCACGGTGACAGAGCCCTGCTTGTGCGTGGCCCCAGGTGGTACTTCAGCCTCTCCTCAGGAGGTGGGGGCCCTCCCCTCAGAGCTTCCAAAGCCTCTCAGCTCGCACGTTGTCCGCAGAGCCGTGGGCCGTCGGTGGGTCCAGCTCCCAGGGCTCGGCCCCACACAGCCGAGGGTGAGCCCAAGGCAGGCCCAGCATCTGAGTCACTTGCTCTGCCAGCTTCCAGCAATGAGCTGACAACCACGGGCCGCCATCGTCCTGCTGAGACGTGTGTGTCCCACGCTGTGACTGCAGGCGTCTGTGAACGATCCCTCCCTGCAGCCGGGGGTGAAGGGGCCTCCGCTCCCCGCTGCCGTGGCCACTCAGTGCCTCTGGGTTAGGGGGCTTCTCGGCGGGCACAGCAAGGGCACTGTGGGCCCAATCCCTGATCTGAGGGCTGTTCTGCACCCCGAGAAACAGTCACCTCCCGAGTGCATCCCAGTCACAACACCCCCTTTACAGTGACAACCCGGAGGGCCCTGGCTTGGGGAAGACCACAGCACTGCCGGCCCCACCACACCACCCCTCCTGGAGACAAGAGGGGTGAGTCTGACGGCCCCAGTCACAGCCACCGCCGCCCCTGAAAACCTCTCCCTGTGGTCATTAGTGCCCGGCTCGTGCAGCTCCCGGCCCAACGGAACGAAACGCTGCCGGGGCCTGGGCCACCTCCAGGTCATGGCCCGGGCCGCTGTGTCCCACGGGGTGTCCGTGTGCTGGTCTTCAGAAGCAGAAGCATATCTCCAGGCCTCTCTCCCTGGTCTCCGTCTGGAAGCTCCACAGAATCCTGCTCAGATCGCAGCAGCACCGAGCCCGGCTGACAGACGGCTGGTGGTGGTGCCTGAGAAGGACTGGCCGGGAACTGAACCGGGACCCACGGGGAAGGTGAGCGTGCTACCCTTGGCCCACCACTGTGCCCTGAAAACTCTGCAAGTCCTCGAACCTCTAGGGCCTGGGAGCTAAGGAGCCAAGAATTATTACAATTTTATTTTTTACTTGTTCTTTGCTTTAGATACGTATTCCAACCACCACAGTGGAAACTTGCACCTAGACAGGGTGGGTTGTGTATGTAGGGGTGTGTGTGTGTGTGTGTGTGTGTGTGTTTGGTGGGGAACCTAACTAAGAAGACTGGGCTGAGAAAATAATTTTGTCTGCTGTTAACTTAATTCTCTACAGGGTTCACCACCACCATAAACCCAGACTCGACATTCTGCTTGGATCATTTGTGGGAATGTTCGCTCTCCGGCCCATACATCTGGGTCATCCAAGTTTGGGTGTAGAGCTCGTCAGTATTTGCTGTATCCCAGCAAATGGGGCTGTTACATGCTTCCACAGAAAGCACAGCTAGCTCACAGAGGTGAGCAGACCGTGACCTGCAGTTACTGGGTGATAAGCCGGTGGTTATCTGAAGCGGTTCTAGCGATACACACCTTCCACTTGTTACAGATTGAATCATGTGCCCCAAAGACATGTGTGTACATGCTGACCTCTCTGCCTGTGGTTACAGCCCCATCTGGGAATGAGTGTCTCTGTTATAAGCCAGGATGTCTGTAGGGTGTGTCTTGAGTCGATCTCTCTGGAGATATGAAGACGTTAACAAGCCAGCATTGAGAAAGGCAGGTTAAGACAGATGACAGCCACATGAGGTCTCCAAAGAACCAGGAAGTAGCAGCTGATGAGACAAGGACCTTCCCCAGAGGGGGAGAGAGAGACAGAGAGATACAGAGAGAGAGAGAGAATGCACGTGCAAGTGAGCAGGAGACAGACGGGGGTGATCGGGGTGAAAGTTTACAGAGCAAATTCATTTCCATACAGCGGCACACATACACTTTGTCTCATGACATTCACTGTAATCTCCCACAATGCAACAGCTCCCCTCCCACTTCCTCCCCATAGTTACCTCTTCCCTGTGTCCATCCCTCCATGCACTCCTGTCCCCTGAGCTGTCTCCCTGTGCATACACAGCCCTTCTTTCTCCCATGATTGACCTCTCCAAGGAGTGTATCTCCTAATGTAAATGTTCAGCTCATATGCCTGAATTAGGTTCAATTCCAGACCTGAGGGCAGCTAGGGGCCATAGTCTCAGGGGTTCCACCAGGCTCTATCAGACCAGCAGACCTGGTCCCTTTTATTATGATTGAGTTTTGTTCCACATTGTTCTCCCACTCTATCCACGATCTCCTACAGAGATCCCGATCTTGTGACTCTTACAGGACTTGAATCGATGACCTGCCATGTGATTTGGCAATACTGAAACTATGCCATTTCACTTGTCGACCTTGGGCTTGTCAGCCTCGGCAGCCAGCAGCTGTCTGAGTGAAGAAAGCCTCCATCTCCAGTGGGCCTGGAGCAGGAGGCAGAGCTGCAGTCCAAGGTTGAGGGGCTTTCTCCCAGCCCCTAGAGCCTAGCCCTTTGAGCTCGGACTTCTAGCCTCCAAAACTGTAAGTGAATAAACTGCTGTTAGTTCAAGCCACCCATTTGTGGTGTTTTCTGTTAGAGCGGCACGAGGTGAGTAACACGGAGACATGAAGAGAGTGTACGAGAGCATGGTTCCTTCCAGAGCTGGCACACTGAATTCGGGTTTCTGGCCCCGTACGCTGTGACAGGATAGATCTCTGCTCAAGTCACCCACTTGTGGTATTTCTGTTGCAGCAGCGCTAGAGGACTAAGACCCACTCCTCCAAATCCAGTTTCCGTCAGGCCCCTGGCCCACACGTATTCTGCATTCTGCATAAAGAACACTCATCGTTGGCCACAGTCACGACTGCTCCCAGCGGCCCTCCCTGCGACGTAAATGAGATCTGACAGCAGTCTATCTGCTGTGAGTGCCATGTGCCAGGTACAAAATCACCCCCAGTGCCATCCACCTTCTCTCGGGAAGATGGAAAAGCAGACATTCACACACAGAGGGGAAATTCAGCAGCAACTTGGACGTGGTGCTCTAAGAAGGGGCGGATTTACAGCCAACAGCAAGAATGGCAGGTGTTTGGTCCAACGACTGCAGCGGAGAGCTGGTTCTAAAACACACAAGAGCCAACGCTCACCAGGAAGCAAAGACCACGCTACTGGCAGCTGACTCAAGGGCACACGCTGCACATGCCCGCCATGTGCCGGGGGAGCCCGCCACGCATGCCCACTGTGTGCTGGGGGAGTCTGCCACGCGTGCCCACCATGTGCTGGGGGAGCCCGCCACGCATGCCTGCCGGCCACCCTGCAGAGTGCAATTCCATTGACATACGGGGCACCATGAGTCAGAACGGACTGTCCAGACACCGGGTGCTACCGAGCTGAGATTAGATCCACCCTGACACTGGGTGCTACCGAGCTGAGATCTGCCCAGACACTGGGTGCTACAGGGCTGAGATCTGCCCCACTGCCCCCTGCCTACCTGTCTGCTAAGTCCCCCATTCCCTGCCATGTGCAGAAATCCAACCCTTTCTTCTCATCTACATCCCGGGATCACAGAACATAAACAAGGGAGAAGACATCAGGAATAGGGGTCTTGGTGCAGAAACACATCTTCACCCCACTTCATGCCCCACCTTTCACACCCTCAGCTGCCTTCAGATGCCTGCAGGGGCAGGGAGGCAAGGCCACCCTACAACGTCATTTTTTAGCTGGTGAGAAGTACTGACACGATTCCTTATTTGTTTGAGCGCCACATGGAACTTAGAGCTGACTGTTCTACTCTGAAGGGAGTGTGGCTTAGGCGCTCGGGCTCTGAACCCTGCAGGACACTAAGGACGGCTGCTCTGGCCAAGACAGAACATGGGCGCAACTGCCCAGCCCTGGGGCCCTGCCCTCGGACCTTACCTCAAGGATGGCGGCCGACATGCCCTCGGAGAGGGAGCTGTTCACCACCGCAAAGCAGTTCTGCGCGGCCGCCTGCAGCTGCTCCCGGGCCATCTCGCCCAGCAGGCGGACTCCAGGGCTCCTGCAGACGACACGACCACGAGCAGGCTCACTGCGGAGAACCACGGGGCGGGGAGAACCTGCCGACCGTAGAAGCGCTGGTGACCAGCACGGCGTGAACACCTGCAGCACCTCACGACACCCACGAGGGAACCAGGAAGCCTCTTCCCACTTTCCATTGAAAACGTGTAACAACGGAGACAGCATAGCAACACTGAAGCCTCCACACACAGACAGGTGACGGCTGTACACGCAGTAGCTGGCCGGGAATCGAACCCGGGTCTCCATACACACAGGCAGGGCTGCCCCAGAGCCAGCGACGCCCAGGGCCGGTGACAGGTGGGCAGATGCAGCTTATAAACAGTACTCTGACACACACAGCTCTCCAAAGAGGCTGTCACCACTGTCCCTCCATCAGAGGACTATGAGGGTGGGAAGCTGTGACTGTTGTCCCTCCCCTCAGTGGGACATAAGGGTGGCAAGCTGTTACCACTGTCCCATTAGTAGACTATGAAGGCAGCAGACTGTCACCACTGTCCCTCCCATCAGCGGGCTCTAAGGGCAGCAGGCCTGTCACCAGCATCCCTCCCATCAGTGGACTCTGGGGGTGACAGGTCCCCCTACTCTCACAGCCAGTGGTTGCTAAGTGTTCCAGGGGGATCAGTGGCAACCATAACCTCGGGGTGGTGGTCCCTGGCTGCTCCATGGTAACTCGCGAGCGTGGACTCTGCCAAGCGCAAGCAAGTGCACCCACTCCCTTCCCAGTAGAATGGGGGAAACAGCCGTTCCTGTCCCACTGGCCGGGTGAGAGGAGGGGCTACTTGTGAAGAAGGTGGAGTGCCACTGGGTAGGGAGCCCTGTGTAAAGGAACTTGCCTAACTGACCGCCACGCGAGTTTCTGCTTCCGCAAACTGCCCGTTCGCTGGTTCTTCTTACCTTTTCACTTTGGCTTTCACTTCCCTCGTAAACACTGGATCCACCTGAAAAGAGACCCAGGCACATGCTTAGAGGAGCCTGGCACAAGGCCAAGTCCCTGCAGAATCATAGGCCGTGAACAGACCCACACTCCACGAGCCAGGCAGGAAGGTGCCACATCACACAGGAAGCGATGAACCCTGAGCCCAGCTATTAGCATGACAAGAGCAGTAATTAATTAGGGAAAGAGAAAGAAGAAAAATACGGTTCAGAAGGAAAACAAACAGCCCACTGTTGGACCTGTAAGGCAGGATCCTGGTTCAACCCAGTGCGGGGGTGAGCCTCGCTCCGGACAACCTGACAACACCCTGCCAGCAACCACAGCACCACAGGGAAGGGTTCTCAGCTCAGGGCAGTGGGTGGATCATGTCATCAACCTTGCGGGCAGAATGACCTTGAGCTTCTAGTGAGGAACTAAGACAAAGCAACAGTCAGAATCCAATGATTTTCAGCAAGGAGTTTTTCTGAAAGCAGGGCTTAAATGACGCCCAGTTCCCATTACTGAACATTTTGAGCAAAGATTTCATAGGAGAAGCCTGATCAAAAGAGGGGAAATGCTGAACAGAATTTTAAATTCTCATGGACTCTAGACTTTCCAGAGCCATGGAGGGTGGATAAACCCCTGAAACTCTTGCCCTAAGATAATCTTTAAACATTAAACAAACAAACAAAAAACCCTAGGTCTTCTTAAAACTAAACAATAGTTTAGCTTACCTAGTAAAAAAAAAAAAACAGGCCTGCTTTAAGAATTATGCTCTTTTAAGATCTATTCATGAGATCAAACTGACAACAGCAACTCGAAAGGTTAGATGAGAACTTAAGGGCCAGTGACTGGTGTTAATGGGGGAGGACAGTTCAGAGAAGGAGGGTGAGGGTGTCGCACAACTCAACCCTTGTCATCAATGTCAGTGAGCTGTCCACGCAGAAACCGTGGAGCGGTGTGTGTTCTGTGTGTATATTCTCAACAACAACAAATACATAAAATCTAAAGAAAGAAAAGCCGTCTCTCCCTCAACAGATGATGGAGAATAAAGTACACAACGGAACAGGACTCAGCCCTATAGAGGAACAAAGTCCCAATGTGCTACCACGGGGAGGACCCCTGTAAGCGTGGCGTTGAGCGAAGGCAGGAAGACACAGTCCATTTACACGGGATACACAACGGAACAGGCCCGAGCCACACAGAGGAACGAAGTCCCAATGTGCTACCAGCAGGAGGACCTGACGCCGAGTGACACGGTCCACGGTCGTGAACTGCCAGAGAGGCAGAGGCCTGGAGTTGGAGCAGGTTTGGAGAGAGGGAGGAAAATGGGGGCTGACAGCTTTAGGGGTTCAGGCTTTCCTTTGGGGGTGATAAAAGTGTTCAGAGTGAGGTAATGGTGAGAGCTGTACAACACAGCCAACACTAAAACCCAAGGAGTGATACATTCCAGCAGGTGGAGGTTACGGAGCACGGATTGCTGCCGTCGCATTGACCGGCCGCGTGGCACCCCCACGTGCACAGAGCACAGCCGTGCACCACGGGCCTCCGGGCTGCGACCTGTGGGAAGCAGTGCAGCAGGCCTCTCTCCTGAGGCCTCTCCGAGTGGGTTTGAACAGCCAACCCTCTGGCTCGTAGGCTACCAACCACCTGGGTCACACGGGGGCTTCAGATCTCATTTCAAAAACAAAGCCCCCAGTGCAACTTGTATGACTCAGAACCTCAGACCTGAGTCAGGCTGCACCCCTCTTCACCTCAGGAGGGGCAGTGGCCAGCGCTCCGCCCCACTGCAAGCTGTGACTGACACGTGCTTAATTAAAGCAAGAATTAACAGAAATGTTATCAAATGGACCTGCTGTTTCAGTACCTCCCACCCCCTGCAGACAGGCCAAATGTTTTTAAGCAAACTGTTTGGTGAGACAAACAGAGGCCAGAGGGAGAGGAGGTGCAGGCAGACGGCAGCCCCACTGCACCCACGTGGCTGCCTATGCCCTGACCAATCTGGGCCTCAGCTTCCTGTCTGTAGGACGGGAGGGACGGCAGACCTACACAGTCACAGCAAATGTGAACAACGGTGCCCAGGACACAACGAGTGCCATGTGAGGAGGCCTCCTGGGAGAACTGAGAATGAGAACAAAGCCTGCACCACAGAGACAAAGCCACGTGCAAGGCCACTCTGAAGGGCACACTTCCCCGGCCGCGCCGCCCCGCTCCAGAACGCTCCAGAGCTGACCGGTACAAAGACGGGCACAGGAAGGCGGGACACTGGGCCCAGCGATGCAGACCCAGCCACAGTCCGGCCACCGAAGCCCCCACACCCTGCCGCCGCTGAGCACCGCCTCCCCAGCGAGGTCAGAGACGCCGTTCTCCCGGCTACGTGAGCCCGGCCAGCGGTCCCTCCACCACCTCGTGCACACAGGACAGCTGCACACCAACAGGGAGGACGGGAGGCGAGCGCAGCATTTACCCTGGTGTTAGTGAAGGACACCGACTATGATGTGGATGCTCAGAGAAACTAGCAAGTCCGTCTTACAGGAAACTCAGCCAGAACGCACCTTACAAGTCAGGGTGGTGAAACTTTGGCTGGCTGACTTGGATGTGTCATCGGAAAGACCAACCATCGGAACAGGGCCACACACACCGCCAGGCGCTCGCTGCGAGGCTCCACATTCGGACATTCCATTCAGCGGTACCGGGCATGGCCGTGGGCGGAGCTCTGATACCAGCCAACAGCGCAACCACCCGGCACAGACTGGCCTGTGCGCCCTCATCCACTCCCATCCCTGCAGCAGGGTGACCCAGAGACTGAAAAGCATGTGGGGCTCATCCCCGGCATGGCGGCTCAGACGCCGGCTCCTGGGTAGGCCTTGCTGGCGCCTGAAGTTCCAAGTTCTCGCCTGGGTTCGGGCCTCCAGCCTTGCCAGCAAGCCCAAGTGCGGGCCCATCCCTTCTGCTGGAGCCGGCCAGAGGCAGGGCCTGTCCCTTGCAGCCGCAGAGCCCTGTGGGCCTTGGGGTGGTCTCTTCACTGGAGTCCTGGCATGGGCACACGAAGACCTGAGGGAGGTTCTCTCCCGCGGGCCCAGCAGGGAAGGCTGGAGCTCCGGCCTGAGACCTCCCCAGCCGGGCAGTACGACTTTGTACTCCGAGGCCTGCACGCGTCCTGGGAAAGGCACAGGCCCCGACAGTACGCACCGTACACCTGAGCCCGGACTCACTACCTGAACTTAGCAGCTAACGAGGGGAACGGACTGCCGAGCCGTGTACACAGTTACTCGTTTCTGGGGACAGAGAATGTGCATCAGATGTCAAAAATAATCCTGTTACGTGAGATGTTCCAACCTGCTCCACAAGGTAGTGGTTAAAACGTGAACTTCAACGGATCCGTAGTTTGGCTTCTCAGCCACTTCTCAAATCCACTCCAGGTCATCAGCAGGGACCAAGGCAGCATTGTGAACACTGAAGTCCCATGTCAAGTCGTCTCAGCCTCCTGGGTCTGTGTTCACCAGAAACGCTGGCTCTGACGGTGGATGGGTGCTGGCCATCCCAGGGCCGTGACTAGGGAGTGGGTTTAAACTGAGCATCAGGAGAAGCATGTGGGAACCGGGCCACCCTCTGGGCAGGGGACCCAGTGTGGGAAGCAGCAGCACACACCCTGAACAAGAAGGGACCACCGTGGGCTCAGACACACACGCCCGCCCGGAAGTCAGAGGCTGCTGCCTGTGTGTGCACGTGCTGGGCCGCTTCGGCACACGTGCTGGGGGCCTGCCCGCTCACGGGAGCCAACTGCATGGCCTCCATCTGCCTCTGTGCTCAGGAACATCAGGGTGGCATCAGACACAGGCCAGGGAAAGCGTATTTGTGCCATGGAAACTGGCAGACAGGCCCGTAGGTAACAGGACTTACCCCTCAGAGAGCCGCTGTGAGCGTTCACAAGCGCACCACTGACTGTGGTTAAAACACAAACAGAACACGAGGGCGTCAGCCCGTCAGAACCCTGGGGCATCTGAAAAGTGCGTGGCCAGACGGGTTCACAGGGTGTGGGACCGACCAGACACCATGCTGCTCAGACATCACTGCCACCATCCCGAGGGCTGACATGACGGCCAGATGTGGACAGCCGTGTCTCCTCCTGCGCGTGGTAGACTCTGAGGGGCAGGCACATCAGCAGGGTCAGGCCCAGAGCTTTGTCTCTGCTCGGATGCCCCTGCCAGTCTGGGAGGAGGGGTCCGGCGCGTCACAGGGAGTACCAGGCTACACGTGAGCACGGTGGTACTGCCTGCTGGTTTTGCTAAGTGACACATCTGTAACTGAGGCATGTGGTCCCCGTGTCCCATTGTTGTTGTTGTGTGCCGTCAAGTCGGACCTGACTCATAGCGACCCCTCCTTGGGTTTCCTAGGCAGTATCACTACGGAAGTAGATGGCCCCATTTTCATTCCGAGGAGTGGCTGGTGGGTTTGAACTGCCAGCCTTCTGGTTAGCAGTCAAGTGCCTTAGGCACTCTGCTTGTTGTTGTTGTTGTTAAGTGCCGTCGAGTCGTTTCCGACTCATAGTGACCCCATGCACAGCAGAACGAAACACTGCCCGATCCCGCGCCAGCCCC